ATTCATAGAAACAAACAATGAACACAACTGCACCAAATTATCAAAGTTTTGTATAGTTAATATAAAAAAAATAAGTTGTGCATGGGGCACTGTGTTCGGTTTGTCACCCAACAGCAGCAAATGCAACTGTTGCACTTCATTTTAAAATTTGATGATAATAACAGAGCAGTGTTTTCTCGAATTGAAGCTCTGACACAATACATTAAGAGAATCCCTGTTGTCAACAACAGTGCCAGTTCCAACCCAGCAAATCACTTTATATACTCCTTCCCACCCTTGAAATTTCAACTAGAATTTGAGTCATCAGGTATATCATTTTGATAAAGTGAAGAATATTGCAAAGACTATGGAGAAATACATTAGAAAATGCAATTATGTACAGCTCCATTTTGCCAGTTCCACCTTTGGATCCACTTCATCTAGTGAATATTTTGAATTACTGGAAGCACAAAAATTCTCAATGCTTTGGTGTGGATATTATTGAATTGGGAATAACATTAGATTTAACATGTATCTTTAAATCTCTATCTTGTTGTCCAGAAGAGGTTGTCTACTTCAACATTGAAAGATTGTGATTCTCAAGGAGATGAGCCCGAACAAAATGACAGTATTCTCTGTGAAAATGCACCTAGTCAAGAAGACTTGGTGTTAACACCAATGGTACAACTACTTTTGACATTTCAGATTATGTTTCATTTGAATGCAAGCAAAATAAAACAGTATCTAGACTTGATTATATCACGTAGTATGTTTTAGCAAATGCAGAAGAGATGGAAGAAACAAATTGTTGAGTCAACATGCACACATAAAAAGAGAGAGTTGATTTACTTTCTTATGCTACATGTACCACTGTGCAAATGCACACTGTTGAGGACATTATTTCTTTCTCAACGGGTACCCCTTTAAACAATCTTCTGCACAAGTCACTGTGTTACAATCATAATTTCAGGTCTTTTCCTTTTCACGTATAGTTAATTTTAAAGTTTATTTTCCTTTCTTGTTCTTTACCAATTATTCTTCATCTTGACACAAGTCAGTGGTGCCCTCATAATTTCAGGTCTTTTCCTTTTCACGTATAGTTAATTTTTAGAGTTTTATTTTCCTTTCTTGTTCTTTACCATTTATTCTTCATCTTGACACAAGTCAGTGGTGCCCTCGCAGCATATCACAATATCTCTGGCAAAGACGCGCAACCCTTCGGCAAAATTTTTTTGCACCACGTAATATTGTAAGCCTTGAGAACTGATGCAAGGTATGATGTATAGTTTATTTTGTGACTTAATATTTAATGATTGTTTGGTTTCATGACAGGAGTGTTGAAGAATGATTGTTTAAGTGTTAGTTGTTAGGTAACTCTGTACGAGTCATACATTGTGTATGCAATTACATTGTTGTCTAGGCTTTACCAATATTGTTTATGTCATATTACTCAAATCTTGGGTGTTTTTCTAATTACCTTAATTGAGTATTTTTCCATCATAGTGTCATAAAGTTTATCAAAAATTCGAGACCTCAGTGAACAATGTCTCATATAAATATAGGTGACCAAGTGAAGTAGACAAAAAGTAAAGTTCAGTCAGGCAAAAGTTAGAAAATGTGAAGTTAGCTGGCGTGTGAGTGAAAAGCCATAACAGGTGATATTTTAAAGTGAGTTTCACAGTTTAATAGAGATAAGGAGAATAATTTGTCTTGTCAAAAGGTGTTCTAAAGTAATTGAACCCATTTGTGTGGACTTTGACAAAAAGGAGACAATTATTTAATGTTCTAGATACAATAACCCACAAGTCAATGTAAGTGAGTCTATCACAGACTATACAGTAAGAAACAGAGTAGAGAAAAATAATTCATCTTGTCAATTGGATTATAAAGTAAATGAATCAGCCTGTGTGGACTTTTGACAAGAAAAGAATTATTTAGAATTTTTAGTTATGTGTTAAAACATTTAAAAATGTAAACATTTTTAAATATACATCATACTTTGCATCAGTTCTCAAGGCTTACAATATTACGTGGTGCAAAAAAATTTTGCCAAAGGGTTGCGCATCTTTGCCAGAGATATTGTGATATGCTGCGAGGGCACCACTGACTTGTGTCAAGATGAAGAATAAATGGTAAAGAACAAGAAAAGAAAACTTCAAAAATTTACTATACGTGAAAAGGAAAAGACCTGAAATTATGAATATACCCAAAAGAATATCTTTAAAGACATTCTACAGAAAATTAAAAGTAATGCACTTTTTTTCTATTTCCTAATTTTAATCATTTCATTGCATTGGGCATTGATGATAATAGCTAGAGTTAGTGATATGGTAGAGAAAATGAAAAAAATACAAACATTTATCTCAAATAAACTTTTGATATTCATTTAGGAGCTTCTAGAGGTTATGCAAATGAAATATGAAGCTATAAAATGAAGGGAAGTATTTTTATATTTAAAAGGAAAATTACCTTGCACTTGAACTATTTACAGTTTGAGTGCAAATAACTACTATAGATAAATTACATTTTTATTAAAAAGACATAATTAAAATAATGACATTCTTTATGTACAAAATACTTATAAACTTTAACAAAATCTTCCCAGGGTTTGTGAGAAATTCACAGTTTCCATATCGTTTTGTTGCATAAATGTCCTCTAGTTGTGCAGATGATAATGTATTTAAATTGACCAACAGAGTCCCTGAATTTTCTACCAAAGATTCATAAACTCTGTAACCTTTTCCATAGGATAGCCATGACCTTAACTCATGAAAATATTTACAGCATGAGCAATTTGAAACTGTATCGGGATGATACGAGGAAATTATGTGTGCAAAGAACAAATATTCTGACAAGTTGGAGTTTCTGAAAAGAAAGTATCCTGACACATGACTGGCAAGCAAGGCAACATTTGAGTAGATATTTAAAGACAGTTATTGATATTAAAGAGGCAGGGTAAGTCATTTAATTCTTTTGCTAACAGTAAAAGGAAAAGACCCGATACTGGTGATGAATACATGAATACTTTGGAACAGTAGCAGACTGAAGGCTCATACGCTAAATCTACAGGAGGTCTAAATTGTTAGAAGCAGGATCATGATGCATTGATCAAACGCTTTCCAACAGATCACCAAATAAAAAAACAAGTTATTAAATTTGAGACAACAAATGAAAAATTATTGAAGGGTAAAATTATAATAAGAACATGAAATAACAGCAATAATATATTTTTCACATTTAGCTATTGGTGTAAAAGTCATGCACACTGTTGGATATCTACTATTTTCATGCAGCCATAATTTTATTTTTGTTCAGAATTCAACCATATAACTTCAGGGGTTGAGAATGCTTATCATTGTATACAGATTGACATGGTTAAATTTTGCAATTTGATATACAGATGCTCACTCAACACCTTAAAGGTGCTGTGTGTGTGGATAGGTTTAATACTAAATTAATCTTTGACTAGCTCTTGACCTATGAATACGACGATAAATAGACCAATGGTTTAGATATACTATATAACTGGATTCACAACCTGACTTTTGGCTTAATTGTACCATATGAATGCAGTGATATGTTTATTTTAAGTCGCTTTGAGATACGATGTTACAGTGTAGAATTACCACTCCTACTTAGCACAATTGCAAGTTAGCTTTTGGTCTACAACTACAATGTAAGTGCAATGACAAGTTATTCTATGGTCTACAACTACAATGTAAGTGTAATGACAAGTTACTCTTTTGTCTACCTTGCAAAATGAGTGAAATGACAAGTGAAAATTTTGCATAACTCTGCAATATAAGTGCAATGACAAAGTCAGTTTGTTGCACCTGAAGCACAACATAACATGAAAGCAGTAGTTCCTATTACTGTTACATTTTGTTGCATCTGAAGCATAACCTTATATGGAAGCAGTAGTTCCTATTATTGTTATAGTTTCAGTTTGCTGCATCTGAAGCATAGCTTAACATGGAAGCAGTAGCTCCTATTTGTTACATGTTCAGTCTATTGTAACTAAAGCACAGCCAACAAGTTACCAGTAGCTCATATTATTGTTACATATTCAGTCTATTGCAACTAGAGCACAGCCAACAAGTTAGCAGTAGTTTCTACTGTCGTTACACTCAGTATGCTGCCTGAATCATTTGCCACCAAAATTAAACCTTGAAGAGAAATAAATGAAGTAGTGTTACTGATTTAAAGTAGTAGAATAAATTAAGAGTTTCTGAAATTGACATAGGGAAGAAAGTTTACTATTTGACAGAATATAAATGAAAGTGTGTCAGCAGTTTATAAATAGTAAGTGAGCAAAACACATAGAATCTAAATTATACCCAAATATAATATATGGTTGTCCTAGAATTATTATTTTTTTTATGAAGAAATATAATTTCAACAATACTCTGTCTTTCTTGATTGATCAGAAGTGAAAGAACATTAAAAAAGTTTATTCTGATAAATATCATCAATAGTTCTCTAAAAACAACTTGCAGTGTTTTACTCATTTAGGTACATATGTATATTAGCAATGATTAAAGTGCATGAAGTAAGAAAAGATGCAAAATTCAGAAAGGTGTTTTCTATATATATGTGAAACTGAAAAAATTATGTTTTAAAGATAATAAAACACTTATTAATAAAAGCAATACTTCCTTATATTTATATAACTTTTATTTTATGTTAAGAGATAAATAGCATCATATGCCTTAAAATAAGTTTGTTTTCTAATATTGTCCTTCAAAGAAAACTAAATATATTGAACCCTTTTGAAGAGATTAACAACCACTCATGAATAAATTGTGCATTGAATTTGTGTTTTTGAAAAATTTCTTAAACACAAGTTCTAACAATAATGTAAAAACTAAGATATACATTTACAATAAAAATTAAATTTGAGCCTACTGAAGAATGTCAACAACTACAATGGATTCATCACAGCTTCTAACTTCAGAATATTATAACCAAGTATAAGTTACAGCTAAGGTAGATAAATCTACTTATTATTTGTATAAACTTACATATTCCATCATAGTAGTTGAATCTCCTCTCTGTTTTCCTAATCTCCAGTGTAGACCAAGCTTAAACAGAAAGTTGCAATGAACTTCTAAGAATACATATGAAGAAGTTACAGAACAGCAACGAAAATATAACAAGTGCTTGCCCAACTATTCATAAAGTGAGATAAAAAATTCTGTTGCATGTTCAATGATAAAAATGTAGTATTCCAGAAATTTTACAATGAATTTAAAAAACAACAATAAAAACCCAAACTTGAACACTTTTGAATAGTCAACTATTCTTCTTCAGGAGAATAAAAATATTTGACATTCACTTTGGATTACATTATATTGAAAATTTAAAGCTGCAAGACTTAAAACTCACTAAGACTAAAACCAACTGCAACAGCATGTTTAATGTGTTATTTCTACACAGTGCAATAAAAAGCTTAGAAACTAAAAAAAGCTGTTTCACTGAAACAGTTAAGCTTTGGAACTATCTCCAACCATCATGCTTTTTAACCTTCCATTTTTTTTTTAAGTTGAAACATATGAAACACATTAACTAATGAACAACATATTAATTTCAGTTTTATGCTTTAACAAGTCACACCAATCTACTCAATTCAATGATAATAGTAGGCAATCAGAAACTGTTTAGCCTAGTTTTTTTTATAAACTCTCTTCTGTGTATTCTTGTAAATGAGTGATTCAGACATAGTTTTCCACTGGAAGCTAAAACTTTTGTGAGAACTGATGGAGCATGAAACAGTAGATATAAGGTTTTTTTGTTTCCCAATACAAGATGAGATAAAACACTAAAAGAATAACAGATATATCCCCAACATTTATCTGCATTTCAATGTGTTTAGTATGTTTATGTATATCCCTCATTTAAATTCATCTGAAATGAGCTATAACATGGTTTCTAGTGAAATTCTAATTGCAGTTGTTGACTACCAGGTACTTCAGGTTTTAAATATAGAATGTACTGTGAGTCTTTATACACATATTGTTGTATCATTACTTAAACTAATAACATAGTAAAGGTACTAAAGCATAATGTAACAAGTAATAAACATTTACTTTTTTGAAAAAAATAAGGATGATGTAGTGATGGCAATGCCAAAAAGTACAGAAACAAGGTAGGGATGAATACACACAAAACCATAAGAAAATCTCTAAATAAGTAGCCAAATCTTTCCAAAAAAATTTTGTATCTACAACTAAATGTTGAATTCCTTTCATTTGCATGAATTCAGGTTTGAATTAAAGTATTTAAACTGAATAATGCTATAAAGTTTTACAATGGCTAATTCCCATAATAAAGGTATTGCTTGTTTACTTGTAATTAAGCGCAAAGCTACAGAATGAGCTATCTGTGCTCTGCCCACCACGGGTATCAAAACTTGATTTCTAGCATTGTAAGTCCACAGACATACCACTTTGCCAATGGAGGGCAATAAAGGTATTAAAACTTAATACGATAAAGACAGTAAAAATTAAATAATGTAATAAAGCATAATTATCACAAAGCTTATTATGGCCATAGCAACACAATTTTTAACTTTATAGTTATTGATCTTTTGTTGTATAAAACCAGGCAACAAAAAAAATTGTTTTATCTGCTACTAGAAAAAATGCATCTGATTCTGAGTAATTTGACGATGCTTATTCTAAAAATCATGTTGAAAATTACTGATCACCTCTAGTTTTCAAGTCATAATAGATTTATTTAAAATATTCTTATATATTATGAAAATAACTTCTTTAATAACTTTATTTATTCTTTGAAAATTGCATTCAAAATTATATAACCTGCATGCTTTGATAAGTTTATTTCATGTTCACAGCATGAGCAACAGGAATCAATAGCCTAGTGTTCCCATTGTGCAAAAATACAGCTTTCAGTCCAGCTGATAAAAAGTCTCCATTCTTGAGGATGATGTTCAGTACCTAATTCTTCCTTTAGTGCCTCAACATTTGTTTGTTTGTTTTTGAATTTCACGCAAAGCTACACGAGGGCTACCTGCACTAGCCGTCCCTAATTTAGCAGTGTAAGACTAGAGGGAAGGCAGCTAGTCATCACCAC